TTGAGAAACAGGGTCTCAATGTTGCCCAGGTTGGTCTTGAACTCCTAGCCTCAAGCTATCCTCCTGCCTCAGCCTCCCAAAGTGCTGGGATTACAGGCATGAGCCACCACACCCCACCTGACTTTTATTTCTAAAACCTCAAACTCTATATAGAAAAGAGGAAAGTTAGCAGAAAAAAAATAGCAGCAGGGTTTTTTTAATTAGTCCTGCCCTTCTTACTCTACCACAGTGTTAAGAGGTACTGATTAGGTCAGGGAGAGATCTTCAAACTATGGATTTTGGAGGAGCCCTCTAAAATGTGGCTGGAGAGGTATAGTGGCAAAAACTTCAAGAAGGGCTGGCTATATTATGCGTACAAGCAGGATCATGGAGATAGGTCTCACATATGGCATAGAGGCCACACCAACTAAAGACGTTCTGGCAACTGAGCTGATGGGCATCTAAACTTCAGCTGTATGCTCCAATAAACAGAGAGTATGCTCTCAGCCCACCCTCAAAACCTCAGCCTTGTATGATTTCCAAATAGGGAGAGGTGGAAATCCAAACAGGACATCAGCAGAACCAAGGCACAAATTACAAATTAAGTGAAGTTATGTAAGAAAATTGCATACTATTTCCTGCACATCTCTGCTCATGGGCTGAAATGTATACCAGTTATAAGTGGCAACCCATCTGGATCTTTCTGATTCCAATCTAAAATTAGAGACACCTCATTTGGGGCAGTGGCCCCCATCCAGTGGGACTATTAGTTAACAAGTATGAGGGGAACTTCCAGAAGTCACTGCATTAAAAAAGTATTAGAAATACCCAGAGGACCAAAGTGGGCCCAAATTTGAAAGGGCACTGCAGACTGTCCCCAGGCAGAAGGAGAATGAAGATAGGGCAAATGTAGTATTGTAAAAAACTAAATCTCCCAGTTTCTTAAAGAATTCCTAAATAAAAAGGGCCAAAGAGCAATTTTTTTGTGGTAGAAATTTTCAGACTAGAGATAATTATAAAATAAGAATGCAGCTGCATGTTCACATAATCCAGTTTCAAGAGTTATCAATATCCTGCCATTCTTGTTCCATCTACCAAACACATACTTTTAGTCTTTTGTTCATTTCTTTTTATTTAGGTGTTTGATACAGAGGAGTGGGGGACTTGGCTGTATTTTAAAGCAAATTCCAGACATTATGTCATTTCTCCTTGAATGCAGCAGTATGTACCTCCAAGATATGAACTTTTAAAACATAAGAGAAATATCATTATCTCACCAAACAAATTTAACCATAATTCTTTTATATAATTTGATAACCAAGCCATACTCAATTTCTTCCAACTATGCTAAAATATCTTTGTATAACTATATCATGGAGATCAAGATCCAAACAAAGTCCACACATTGTGATTGGTTGATACATCATTTAGTCTACAACAGTTCTCTCTCCCTTTTTATGGCATTTACCTGTTGAAAAAAACTAAAAACTAAGTACTTTATCTTCTAGAATTTTCCACAGTTTGGAAATGGTTAATTATATTCTTGTGATATTATCTAAGATGTTCCCCTATCAACTGTATTGCCTTGTAAACAGGTACTTAGGTCTAGAGAACTGATTAGATTTAGATTCAGGGACATGTGAAGCTTGGAGAGTTTTGCATGAGAAATTACATTTTAGAAGATCAATCTGGTAATTGTGTGGAGAATAGACTTTTAGAAGGCAAAGGCAGAATTATAGAGAACAGGGGGCCTATTACAATAATCCAAGAGAGGATCACAATGTTAGTTGTGAAAATAATGGATAATGGTCATCCTCTGGATGTATTTTGAAGTAAGAGAAAACAGAATTTGCTGCAAGATCAGATATTTTCCAGAAGCTAGGCTTCTGGACTCCTTTATCTAGTACCCCACCAAATGAGCCCATTCTACATCTACCCCTGAAGTTGTAGCCTGGGGAACATGTGAGAACACTAGATCAAAGGAGCCTCCTCCTGCAGAGACAAAGATGACTGCTTGTTCCTCCCTCGGACCTCCCCCTCTGGCTTTCCTCTGTTACTCTGACTTCCCCCACCACCAATTTCATCATCAAAATTACACATCATGACCAATTACACACCAGGACCAAATGTTTAAAGAAGAATCAACATTAACTCTACACAATCTCTTCCAGAAAAAAAGGCAGAGAGATGATTTCTGAACTCATTTTATGAAGCTAATAATACCCTGATACCAAATCAGACAAAGATAGCACCAAAAAAGATCCTTGAAAAGTCAGGGAATAAATGTTCACCAGGTGACCAAATATGACATATGAGTAGGAGTCACAGTCCCAGAAGATACACCCCAAATTTTTTACTTTTATTACCTCTGAGTTAAAAAGGAAAATGAGAGAAACAGGTGTAGAAGATAATGAAAGAGAACTCTACTCTGTATATTTCATACTCTGGATTGTTAGAATTCTATAACAAAAATGTCCCAACATATAATTTGTGTAATTAAAAATATACACATATTAAGAACAAACCAGGGAGTCTGACACTCCTAGCAAACTCACAACATCAAGAATGAAGCAGAAGATACCCTTACAGACAATGCAGTCATCAAAAAAAAAAAATAGCAAGGGAACACTACAAACAACTCTATGGACATGAATTTGACAACTTGGATGAAATGAACCAATTCCTCAAAAAACACAAACTGCTACAACTTACCCAATATGAAATAAGTAAATGACATGCCCTGTAACTATAAAGGAAATTGAATTTGTATGTTAAACTCCCAAAAAAAGAAATCTCCATGACTACATGTTTTCACCGGACAATTCTGTCAAATGTTTAAAGAAGAATTAACATTAATTCCATACAATTCGTTGTGAAAATAATGGATAATGGTCATCCTCTGGATGTATTTTGAAGTAAGAGGCAACAGAATTTGCTGAAAGATCAGATATTTCCAGAAAAAAGGGAACAGAGATGATTTCTCAATTTATTTTATTAAGCTAGTAAAACCCTGATACCAAATCAGACAAAGATAGCACAGAAAAGAAAACTACATACCAATATTTGTAATAAATATAGATACGAAATTTGTAATAAAAGATTAGAAAATAGAATTCAGCAGTACGTATAAAGAATTACACACCATGATCAAGTGGGGTCTATTCCAAGGATATAAGACTGATTCAACATTCAAAATTCAATCAATATAAGCCACTATATTTATAGGCTGAAAAAGTAAAAATGCATAGGCTAAAGAAGAAAAGAAAATCAACTGATGCAAAAAAATTTTTAAGCATTTTAAAATATTCATTCTAGCTGGGTTGGTGTGGTACTTCTATAGTCCCCACTACTGGGGAGGCTGAGGTGAGAGGATCACTTGTGCCAGGAGTTTGAGGCCATCCTGACAGCATAGCAACACTCCATATCTTTTTTTTGAAAAAAGTTGTTCTTATAAAAATAGGAATAGAGAGGAACTTTCACAACTCAGTAGAGAGAATCCACATAAAGGCTACAGCTAACATTGATGGTAAAACTGAATGTTTTTCTCCTAATAACCAGAACATGGTCTGTCTACTTTCAATGTTCTTAATAATAATCCTCTTAGCATAAAACTGGATGTTCAAACCAGTGCAGAGTTCACAAAAGAAAAACAAGGTCACAGAAATAAAACTTCCTATGTCCAGGCGACACGATTGTGTAGAAAATCCCAGAAAATCTACAGAAAGAAGAGGAGGAGGAGGAAGAGGACAAACAACGGTAGAGAATGAAGAAAAAGAAAAAAAGAAAGAGAGATAACTTCTATAAGTGAATTCAGCAAAGTTACAGTGTAAAAGATAAAATTACACCAATTGTATTTCATATATTAGCAACAGACACATGAACACCAAAAGTAAAACAATACCACTGGCCAAGCACAGTGGCTCATGCCTATAATTCCAGAACTTTGAGAGGTGGAGGCAAGAGAAGCCCTTAAACCCAGGAGTTCCAGACCAGCCTGAGCAACCTAGCAAGAGCCCATCTCTACTGAAAAAAAAAAAAAAAAAATTTAATTAGCTGGAAGTGGTAGCACATGCCTATGGTTCTAGCTACTTGGGAGGCTAAGCACATGAAATGGTATTCAATATCATTAGCAATTAACAAAATGCAAAGTAAAACGGCAATATATCAGAATGACTACAATAAAAAAATAGTGACAACATCAAATATTGATGAGGATGTTGGATCATTCATACACTGCTGCTAGAAATGTAAAATGTTATAGCCAAAAGTATGGCAGGTGAAACATGTAACTACCTTATCACCCAGCAATTACATTATTGAGCATTTATTCCAAAGAAATAAAAAACCTGTACACAAAAAGCTACATAACAGCTAGTTCATAATAGCCAAAAATGAGAAACCACTCAGAT